CTTTCATTTTAGAACATGGCATAGCCCAAATGATGCTTGGATCAATTGGGTCGACCGAGTTGGAGCTGTGAAGGCAGAAATATGGAAGGATTGTGGCATATATGATGCCATTCAGCTAAGTAAAACTAACATCGCCCAAGACAGAGCCTTGATGATAGCAGCCATGTTTAATTGGTCGACCACCACCAACTCCTTACACTTGAAATGTGGCATGATGGCTCCAACCATTCAAGACGTGTGCTATCTAACCGGCCTCAAACCCTTTGGGATTGATGTAAGTACCTTATTGGTAGAAAATGATTCTCCTTCCATCTTCCCTTCAAAGCAAACTGGAACCAAATCATCTGAATCCTCTTATGGCAAATACTTAACTTCTACCATGGATCCTCGCGTCCCTGTGAATGATGCTGAACATATTGCCTTCTTGTTGGCGTGGCTGAACAAGTTTCTTCTATGCGTACCGGCCTTTCAAGTCACAAAGGATTACATTCATGTGGCCGTTGCCCTTTCAAGAGGTAAACACCTTGCTCTTGCCCCCTTGGTGCTTTCTCATTTATATAGAGGGATTTATGACTTGCTTACCTCCAACTTCGGACGCTATGGTGGTCCCCTCTGGTTATTTCAAATTTGGCTTCAAGTGTACTTTCCTGAACTCGGACCTGTGGTAAGGCCTTCGGCCAATGACCCATTACTTTCTGTAAGTTACGCATCAGCCGTACCTAAATCCCATTCGTTTGGAGATTGCTTCAATTTCTTTTACTCCGGTTGTGAACAGAGGACCATCAGCCAATTCCTTCCATTTTCTCATTGCTCACAAGTACCTCGATGGCTGACTCCTCCTCAAGGAGTGTCTACCAAAAAATCAGCTGATAAGCATTCGGCCATATGGGCTAGTTTCTTACTTTCAAGAGACCTTCACTTCAACACTGGCCCTCTAGGCACAGTAAACTCAAAAGTTGGAGTTGAGTTCTACAATCCAAACCAACTTGCTAGGCAATTTGGTCTGACTCAAATGATCCCCATGCCCCCTTATTTCTCTTTCAACAAAAACTTCCATAGGCGTGTGGTGTTTCCAGATGACTCCTATGTAAAGAACGTGTCCTCCCGGTTCTCAAATCTGTAAGCCGGATTCCAATTCCAACCCTTCATCAAAAACCCAGCCTCAGATTCTAGTTTTGATCAATGGTGGTCTTCTTACATTACTTCTACAAGGACGGCTGATAGCCAGTCCCTTGTTATTAAAATATTGGAATCTTTCAAGTTCATATCTGTGGCCTTTGAAGGGGCATTCGTAATTTCCCGGGCCGTTACCCTGAAGAAGATGCCTCAAAAAGATCCTCCCAAAGATAAAAAACAAACGGCCAAGAAACTCCCTTTCTCTCAGCCAACAGATGCTCCAACAAGGACCAATAAAGAGAGAAAAGCTAAGGCCAAAGCCACTGTCAGCCTCCTCAAGGGTACGATCTTCCTTTATATATATATATATATATATATATATATATATATATATATATATATATAAACTTTTAATTGAAATTCTCTTACCCCCCCCCCCCCCCCTTTTTTTTTTTCGCAGATTCAGACAGTGGAACTTTATCAGCCTCGCTTAATCCAGAAGACGTTGAGCCCCAAGATGATGAGATTTCCTCCAGCCAACCTCCTCAGCCTTCAATAACTGAATCAGCCATCATCCCTGATGTTCCTCCAATTCCTCCAAAGGTAAAAGTTTTTTTTTTTTTTTTTTTTTTTTTTTTTTTTTTTTATCTATTAGCATACAAAGACAATCATATCGGCTCAATTGTTAAAATACTTAGCCAATATTGATTTCTAATTCTCGGCCACAACTATTATTGGCCGAGACAAACTTTAATAAAGCTTCCATCTCCAGGGGAAAAGAAAGAAATCAACTGCTCATGGCACTTTAAAAAGAACAAGATTGAGCAAACGTAAGAAACAGGAAGTGGAAGAAAATCTAGAAAGCCTTCATCCTACAGAAGACGTGGCCGATGATCCCATAATTAATGTGACTGACACTCCTTCTGATCATTCCTCAGATGAAAAAGAGGTAAAGATAACTGTACTTGAAATTTCCAAACTTTTCAATTAATATGGTCCTTAATTTCTTCTCTTTTGCAGCAATCTCCTCTTCTTGACTTGGTCTATAGCCCAGTTAGAAATTTTAGCCCTCTGAAGGATTTTCATGATCCCATTGAGGTGCCCTTCAATGTTCAAGTCACTCCTGCTAAAACTTCATCCCAGGGAGATAGCACAGCGGTTCAGCCAGAATTTCCTCCTCCAGAAACCAGTCATCAGCCACTCTTAGTGACAGACATAGCCGAATCATCTAAGGTATTGACTATCTCATGTCCCAAAAAAAAAAAAAAAAACTTAATATCTAATCTTTCCTCATTTTGTCAAGTTGTGTATGAGAAAACTCAAATTATTCCTTTATTTCCTCCACAAAAAGTTCCTGCTTCATCCCTATTGGCCTTGAGCAATTTTTTTAAGGATGTGGTGGCTTCAGTGACCGAAGAGAAAGAAATTGAATCTTCTGGAGCCACCCCAGTCACTTCAACCAATATCCCTATACAATCCTTAGAAGAGACCAAAAAATCTTTACTTGAGATTTTGAAAAGGGATGCTGCTGATCTTCCTAATTTTGAAAGTGAACTCACAGTAGTGCTTTCTACACTCAGCCAGTACCCAGACTTTCTGGTTGATCTTCAAGCCACTATTGCTACCTTTAAAGGCCAGCTACCAACTCTGACCGATGATATTTTCCAAGCCAATGAAGCAATCAACCAATTCAACAAGAGTAAAAACAGGAAGGATACCCTTGCTAACCAATTGTTAATTCAAGCTTCCTCCTTTGAAAGAGTGAATACAGAGTTCATCGGCCTTGAGGAAAGAGAACATGTCCTTCAGAAAGAGATCGACCAGATCCATGCTCGTAAGGCCATCTTGTCTGCTGAAGCTGCCACATTGCAGTTTGAAGCTCAAGACCTTGCTCACGAGCATGCAAATCTTCGTGGAGAATTACCTCAATTGGAAGAGTCAAAGAGGCAGGCCATGGTGGCCTTCAATCGGTCCTTAGTTATTTGGGCCGATTTCAAGGAAAAATTTGCAAACATATGAAATTTTTTATTTATTTTTATATTAGCTTCCTTTTGTGGCCATCTTAGTGTATGATCTTTAAATGATGTAATCTTTTACACTTTAATGAATAAATGGCCTTTTTCGTTACTCCAAACAAGCATCAACATTCTAGCGAGAAAGAATTTATTAAAATAACCAAATCAGCCTAGAAAAATAGGCCGATTTTTATTACATAAAGGTACACATGGTCAGCCATAAGTACTGGCTAACACTAATTTTCCCTTTCAAAGATTGCCGGTACGTACCTCTTGAGGTACTTGCCATTAATGGGATAGTCATGTAATCGGCCACTAAAATATTTCAGCCTATATGCTCATCCACTTAAGACTTAATGGATTAAGTATGGCCCTTCCCATTTTTGGGACCACTTCCCATATTTCCTATCGACTTTACCCACTGGCAAAACAACTTTCCAAACCAAATCTTCTTCAGCAAAAGACTTAGGTTTTACCCTCTTGTTGTAGATCCTCATCACTTTCTTCTTGTGAGCTATGATATGATCCAAGGCATCCCTTCTAAATTCATCCAAATCTTCCAATTCTACCAACATTGCTTGGGTATAATCAGCTGGAGTTAGATTATTTTGAAAAGCAACTCTGGCTGATTTAACCTTCATCTCCATAGGCAGAACAGCATCATGACCATAAGTTAACATGTATGGTGTAACTCCTGTGCCTGTTCTTTTTGAGTTCCTATAGGCCCATAAAGCTTCAGACAAAGTCTCATGCCACCTTCTTGGCTTATCTTTGATCATTTTTTCAATGATCTCAATTAGAATCTTATTTGAAGATTCAGCCTGGCCATTTGCTTGAGCATAGTATGGCGTAGAGGCTGACATATGAATATTCATGTTGTGGCCGAATTGTAGTACATCAGTTGCTCTAAATACTGTTGCATTGTCTGAAACAAGTGTTTCTGGAATCCCAAATCTGTGGATGATGTTTTGCTCCATGAAATTAATCACTGTTTGCTGATTAACCGCTTTGCAAGCCTTGGCCTCAACCCATTTAGTAAAATAATCTGTGGCAACAATCACCCAGTGATGGCCTTCGCTTGATGGTGGATTAATTTTACCAATAAGGTCAAGGCCCCAACCTCTGAATGGCCAAAGTTTGATTATTGGTTGTAATTCTTTTGCTGGTACATTCTGAATCGGCCCGTGTCTTTGACAAGCTTGACAACCTTTTGAGTAATCTATGCAATCTTTCCTCATTCTCGGCCAATAATATCTATACCTGCGAATCAGCCATCTCATTTTAATCCCAGCTTGGTGAGCCCCACAGCTGCCCTCATGTACCTCGGCCATAACCTGAAGTGATTCCTCCTTGCTTATGCATTGTAGTAAAAGCCCATCTTCTAACCCTTTTCTGTATAGATCCCCATCTAGAAGCACAAAGTTGATTGCTTTTCTTTTAATACTTCTATCAGCCTTGATGTTTGGATTTCGAAGGAACATTATAAATGGTATCCTCCAGTCATCGTCGGCCAAATCTTCTACATCAATTGTCCAAGTATCAAACATAGTATTTCTCAATTCGGCCGATGGCAAAGATCTTCGTGTTATCTTTATCAACTGATCTTCTATTCCGGCTGGCACTCTTATTCCAGAGGCTGCTTGAGCCATGCTGTTGGCCTCCTTATTCTGCCCTCTCGGCCAGAACTTAAGTTGAACATTATCAAATTGATTAATTAATGAAGTGGCCAGAGAATGAAACGGCCTCAATTGCCAACTTAGGCACTTAAAATCTTCAGAAATTTGGCTAAGGACTAAGTTTGAATCTCCCAAAATCTTTACATCTCTAATAGCCATTTCAATTAAAATCTCCAGGCCGATTATAAGTGCTTCATATTCGACCTGGTTATTTAAACATTTAAAATCTAAAAAGAAAGAGAATGAAGCCTTTCTGCCAGCTGGCGAAATAATAACAATACCTGCTCCTGCTCCATCAGCCGTGCTTGATCCATCAAACATCAAGATCCAAGGAGTCAAGAATATAGCTGATGACTCCAATTCATCATAAACCCATGGATCAATATCAGTTGAAGGATGATCGGCCAAAAAATCAGCCAGAACCCTTCCTTTTACTGATTTTTGTGAGACGTAGATAAAATTGAATTCCATCAAAGCCAAAGCCCACTTACCTATTCGGCCAGTGATCAATGGCCTTGATAGCATATACTTGATCACGTTAGTTTGACAAAGAATGTAAACATCAACAGGCCGCATGTATACTCTCAACTTCATGGCCGAATAGTACAAGGATAAACAAAGCTTCTCAATTGAGGAATATCTGCATTCTACATCAGTTAGTACTTTACTCAGGTAGTAGACAGCCTGCTCCTTTCCATGTTCATTGTCTTGTGCGAGCATACTACCAATTGATTCTTCTGCGGCCGATAAATAAAGCTTTAACGGCCACTTCTTTCTTGGAGGCATTACAACCGGGGGGTTTGCCAAATACTCTTTTATTTTGTCAAAGGCCTTCTGATGGGATTCGTCCCAATGAAATTTCTCATGTGACTTTAATTTCACTAAAGTCGAAAAAACATGCACTCGGCCAGCATGGTTAGAAATAAATCTTCTAAGAAAACCTACCTGGCCGAGGAACCTTTGCACTTGTTTTTTGTTGGCTGGGGCCCTAGCATTTATAATAGCTTTGACCTTGTTCTGATCAACTTCAATACCTCGTTTATGTACCAAGAACCCCAAGAAATTCCCGGCTGAAACTCCAAATGCACATTCAATGGGTTCATTTTCAATTTGTGAATCCTCATCCTTTCAAAGGCCCTTTTCAAGTGTTCCAAATGCTGTCTCTTGGCCGATGATTTCACAACTACATCATCTATATAAATTTCCATGAATCGGCCAATCATATCATGAAAGATAGAATTCATTGCCCTTTGATAAGTAGCCCCGGCATTTTTTAGGCCAAATGGCATCACAATCCACTCAAAAGTACCAATTGACCCAGGACATCTAAAAGCCGTTTTATGAACATCTTCCTCGGCTAAATAGATTTGATTATAACCTGAATGGCCGTCCATAAAAGACAATATTTCATGCTTAGCGGCCGAATCAATAAGTTGATCGGCCACAGGCATTGGATATTCATCTTTTGGAGTGGCATTATTTAAATTGCGAAAATCCACACAAACTCTAAGTTTGCCATTCTTCTTCATTACAGGAACAACATTAGACAGCCATTCAACATACCTAACTGTTCGAATAAATCTTGCCTTAAGAAGTCTCTCAATTTCTTCTTTAATTTTGAGCATTACTTCCGAAGACATCCTTCTTGGTGGTTGTTTATATGGCTGAAAATCTTTCTTGATCGGTAATCTATGTTCTACCAATTTTCTAGACAGGCCAGGCATCTCTTCATAACTCCAAGCAAAGCAATCCTTATATTCATTTAATAATTTAATCAAATCGGCCTGGAATTTAGGCTCAAGCAAAGCACTAACAAATAATGGCCGATTATCTTTTTTAGTACCAACATTTATTTCCAATAAAGGATCTTGCACCTCTGCTTTATTATCTTCCATCCTGGAAGGGGCTGACTCCAAATCTTCAAGTTGGATTGCATCCAGCTTTTCGAAACCTTCTTCAACTATATCGACCGTGCTGGCCGATACCTCTTCATATAGCTGTTCTTCTCTGGCCAGTCTCTTCTCAGCCAGATATGCTTTCAGTCTGATGCAAGCGGCCCTAAAAGCTTGCCGCTTCTCTTCTTCATTGGTTTTGTGATCCATTAGTAACATTTTCAATGTCCTTGATGGTCGACCTGAAAATATCAATTTTCGGCCGAGCTGCTTCTGACAATAATTCTTTAATATCAGCATTAATTAAATTCTTCTTCATTGTTGCCGCTGCTGGTCGTCCCATCTTGTTAATGCCAACAAATTTGATAGGTACAACAGTTTCATCATAAAGTGCAGCCTCAGCCGAATACACCCTAGCTATAAAGGGTTTGTTATCGGCCTCAACAATTTTTACCTCATTTCCGTCCCAAAAAATCAACATTTGATGCAAGGTTGATGGGATGCACATGTTAGGATGAATCCAATCTCGGCCTAAAAGGAGATTATAGGCCGCGGTTGAATCAATGATAAAGAAAGCCGTAAAGGATGTCTTACCGCCAATAGTAATTTCCAAAGGTAGAATACCTTTGGTGTTACTAGATCCTCCATTAAAACCACTGATGGCCACGTCGGTTGGAACTACATCATCCATGGTTTTACCCAATTTCTTCAAAGTAGTTGATGGAATGACATTCACCACTGAACCATTGTCAACCAAAACCCTATTGATTGGCTGACCCTCAACCCATACTTTAACATACAACGGCCTTAACTGATGTGTCATGGACAAAGGTGGTTTTTCAAAAATGATTTTATCGGCCTTAGATGGCTGATCCTGAGAGATCAATCCTATCCCGGCCGATGAACTTGTCGAATCGTTCTTAATTTCTGAAGATTCAGCCTTTTCCTCCTGCTTGGCTGACTCAACATCCCTGTTCACCGTTGGTTTTATCCTTGCTTCAAACACAGAAGGCAAAACAAATACCATGTTACAATTTACCTTATCCGGGAGAGAACCAAAACGAATTCTGTACTTGGCCGCATGCTTTGGATCCTGGTCGGGCTGATCATCTTTTTCTTCATAAAAGCATGCCTTATTCTCAAATGATGTAGCGACCTCCATGTCTTCAGCCACCACTGGTTCAATTTTCCTTTCTAGTTGATCATGGTCGATCTTGTCTTCTTTCCTTTTGAGTTCTGCATTTCTCCTTTGCATCCTCCTTTTTTGGGTACGTGTAGGAGGTTGCTTAGGAAACTTTGGGTGACTTACTCGAGTTCATCTGCCATGGTCAACCAAAGGAGGTCTAACCGTTCTTACACGGCTAGATTCTTCTCCTTTTTGAACCTATATTTCTGACTGAATTATTGGTTTCCTTTTGAAATTAGGATAAAAATGTTGTTCTGGCAGGACTCTATCGGCCACCGATGACCGAATGATTCTCACTGCCCTCGGCCCATTTTCTCTAAATATTGACCGATTGATTTCTTCGTGATTCGGTCTAGGTTAATGGCCTAATCTTTCATGGACACTGCGCTTTCTGGTTGATTGGAAATAACCCCTCTTGTCTGAGTCATTCCTTTGGCCTTTGCAATTTGGACAACAACCATGGTTGATGAGGCAATTTGAGCTTCTCTTAACTGAATTTCCAAGTCCTTAACTTTCTGCTCATCATTACTGGCTGGTGAACTACCAAGAACTTTTGGTAATCTTTCCTGTCTACCATTATCAGCGGCTTTTTCAGTTGCCAGGCTGATTACATTGGTACTGACAATATTAGGAAATGGATCGCCATCGACCCCCATTACATCTGGCTTCTTTTCAGGGAATTTCAATACACCTTCATCGATAGATTTCTGCAATACATTTCTAAATACATAACAATTGTTAGTAGTATAATTCCATGAATTATGAAATTTGCAGAACTCTCTTCCTTTTAAATCATTGGTCGATGGTATATTGTGTCCTTTTGGCAAAACGATTTGTTTGTCGGCCAACAAATGATCAAAAATTTGTTCTGTTTTGGCCAGATCAAACGTATAAACCTTACCAGTATCAGCCGTACCCTTCCTGGCCGATGAAGTCGATGGCTGAGTACCACTGGTGGATACATTTGGTTTTGTTAAAGCGTCACATACATAAGGTTTCTTTAGAATAACTTCGGCTAAATTAGCTTCAAAATCTTCCTCTTCAACCACATCAGTTGAATAAACTTCATAGTTGGGGTCCCTATAGTACGTACCTTTAGAGGAATTTTTTCGTTCTTTCTCCTCTTTGAGAACCAACTCATACCTGGTAGCTTTCTCGGCCAGGTCATATATGTCACGAAATGGAACTCCTTCAAACCTCTTCCGAAGTTCAAAATCAAGGCCGTTCAAAGCCAAACGAATGTACTCCTGTTCTGGAAGAGGTACACGACATCTTAATCTTGCTCTCCTGAATCTTGCAATGCATGTCTCGACCGATTCACTAGGTAATTGACTTAACCTGGATAAATCGGCCAGAGTAGGTTCTGTCTCCGTACGGTAGAACTGATTGTGGAATAATTCCTCCATCTGTGGCCAATTAAAAACAGAGTTAGGAGGTAGACGAATATGCCATGAAAAAGCTGCCCCTGTCAAAGAGTTAGGAAAAAGTCTCAATTTCAACCACGGGCTAACACTGGCCTCTCCACATTGAACCGTGAATCGGCCAATGTGTTCCACGGTCGATTGATTCCCCTCTCCACTAAAGGTTACAAAGTCAGGGACTTTATATCCTCTAGGGAACTCAACTTGGTCTACCACTTCTGGATAAGGAATTCTATAAATTGGTCGGCCGGCACCTCTAAGTTCCAGGCCATATTCTTCTGTGAGTAAATCAGCTAATTGTCTTCTATCTAACATGACTTGAGGTGGCTGATTTAATATTGGTGGTACCTGATTAAAAACTGACGGCTGATTAGCCGCTGGTTGATAGCAATTCGGCCAATCATGTGGCTGATTAGCCATATTCTGCCCCCCGAGCCCTACCTGTTGCGGCACATGAGTATACAGTGGGTTCAGTGGCCTCTACCTGATCTGATTGCCCCCCGAGTTCAAAGGCATCCGAGGAGGGTTTGGTAGAATTACCTGTGGCTGCGAACCTACTACTGGTGGCTGATTAGAACCTGCCAATGTAGGCTAAGGATAGCTTTCTGCCCAGGTGAGTAGCGTATGAACTGGCTGACTTGATGTTGCACCTGGTTGGAGTGTCACTACTGGCGGCCATGGCTGTGATGTTTCAACGGCCCTCTCTGGCCGAGCAGCTTGTGATAGATTCGGCTGAGAAGCCGATTCCTGATTGTTGGAGCTGCTCGCTTGAGTCGGCTTGTTCAAAATAAAGGCTGAGAGTTGGGACATATTTTCATGCAAGTCGTTGTAGCGTGCTCCCATCCTTCCCATTGCATTTACCAAGGAGCTAACCTGTGCTTGAAGTACGGCTAACTCATCAGTAGGACCTGCTGCAGAGTTCTCAGCCTGTACTGGCTGATCGCTTTCCTCCAAATCTTCATCAGTAGCCACGGCCTTAGAATTTTTTGTGAGCCGCGGCATATTTGCCTCTTTTATAACACTCTAGTAGTGGTCCCACCGGGCGTGCCAAAACATGTTCGCGCGATTTTTGTTCCCTACGCCGGTTGATGGACTCTTCGCGGGCGTGCCAGAGTATTTGTATAAAATACCCAAAATATGTAATTGAACACCAGCCTATCCCTTTTTCTGATGGCTGACTCTCAGGCGATTGTGTGGGAGAGAGACTAGTAAGAACTCCCAGCAAGGTTCTTTTATGCCTTATTTGTAACAAGGACTTTTTAGAGTGTCTAAAGAAATGCAACGGCT